AGTTTGGGATTCAGTTCTGCRGCATTTGGTAATTACAGGCGCAAAGAGGAAGAAGTCAGCCATAGAAATGGAACCTGTGTCCTGCTAATTACACTGCGATGCTGCCTCTGGGCCATGCAAATAAACCCCTTGTGATGGGGGCTTAAAGCACCAGCTCTGCCCTTTAGCGTGGAGGCCTGGGGTACACACTCAGCTCCAATTCATTATTTTTGTTACTTTGCTGCATTGGAGCGGTGTTTCATTGCRGGCAGCAGCAAGCAGTGTCATGGCCACACAAGCAGCTTTGCCCTGTTAACCTTCRCTAGCTGATAGTGGCTTTGCAAATACCAGACTGAAATAGCTCGCTGCCACGGTGGTACTTTTTAATCCCTCCGCTTTTCCACCCAGCTTCCAGCATGCCGCAGAATTCCTGCGCTGCGCCCYGCTGCCGAAGCTGCTTTCACGTCTGCATATTCTTCCCGGGGTTAGTCCTGAGGAGTATTTCAGGATGCACACACGAGCGTGGCCTCACTTTTATCGGGAAGTTGCGCTCTCTTCTTCCCCCATCCTGCACATACACCTCACCGGTACCTTTCCTTGTCATCCCATGACTTGTTTTTTCCCCAATGTCTTTTATCTTTTGAGTAAAGTTTGAACAGTACGCAGAAAGTTAACTGCCTGGAGTCTTTTAAATATAAGTAACACGCACCCAGTAATAAGCTGTCGGTTGTTTTTTTGCTGCCTGCAAAGAAACATAAACACAGCGCTCATTTCTGGCAGGTTTTTACTGTCAGAGTTTCTCCTATTATATTTATCTTACAATTTGCCAGGGGGTGAAGTTATTAAGTTTTAGCAGCAGCCATCGATCAAGTTCACAAGTTAACACGATAAAGGCTCTGTGCCGCTCCGATCCGGGAAAATGATGATCCTCACTCGGTAATTAACTAAATGAGAAAGTTAAATCTTACTTGAGAGCTGGGAGAGATGAAAGAGAGGTGTTTGTCAGCTTCTCAGTGGAAATTAGAAGCAGTTTTCTGCAATTCCCTAAGCTGCTGCTCTGTCATATTTTACATAAGCACTGGGAAAACGTCTTGTAATTAGTGCTGTCATGGAGGATTTTTTTTGCTGAAGGATGTTGGAATAATTCATTAGATTATCAAGAAAGGCTTGTGTCCTGAAATGATTAGCACAGTGAAATTTAAACCATTAACGATAACAAGTTTAGAGCTTGCTGCAGTGCAGAGGCACCCGGGGTATGTCTGTGCCTATTTCAATCATTTCTTATAATTAAACATTATGTCCTCTTTTTTTTCCCCCCCTTCACTGAGACCCATCCAAAATTCCTGTTAAGGTGGCTCTGTCTAAATCAGTGACTTAACCACGGCTGGCAGCACAGGCAGTTAGAGGTGAAACGCTGCACTTGCAAATAAGCAACAGAAGACACTTGAGGCACAGCCCGGCATCCCAGTGAGTATTGGAAGAAGGGGAGGAAGCACAGGGTGACCTGTTGGTGCTGGGACATCAGGAGGAAGTTCCTTCTGCATTGAGAAAAACTCAACTGGGAAATTTGAGGCAATGGTCTAAGCCCTCGGTCTTTCCAGAGCTCCAGGGTGAAGATGTCTTGGCGGCTCAGAAGGTCCCAAACCTCGTTGGGGCTGCTGAAGACACTCTCAATCTTCTAGTAGGAAACAGCTTCTCTTTTAAGACAAAGAGATTTATTTTTATATCAAGAAGTGTATAAACTGAATTCATCCACGCTATGAAAAGTCCCTTAACAAAGTCCCCTGCAATGGTTAGAGGACACTGGCTTTTTGTTTTGTTTCTAAAAAAAATAGCAACTTCTGTTATTCATGGAGAAACACCTGTATTAAGACTAGAGAATTATTATCCTGGTGCTTGTTTTTTTCTGTGCCGTAGAAGGATCCCTAGTCCCCTGTACTGAACAGAAATAAAAAGAGCCTTCATTGTCGTAATTGGGCTACAGCTGTGAAATACCTGGGTTGTTTTGTCTTCTGAGCAGAGCAGTAAACTTATCTAGACTTTATTTATCTATGCTGAAATATTGCGCTTTCCTATAGTTGCAAGCCATTATTTAGATTAAACTCCTCTGTATATTAGTCCTCTTCTACCTCACTGGGTATACAAATGTGCTTTGTGTTAAATGTAGCCATTTAGAGAAATGGTCTTGTAATTATGAGCTGCAATGGAGCATAGTACGTAGATCCCTGAGCTAGTACCAACCTACGGCATGGAGTCCCCCGGGGTTCCTGGCACAGCTTGTGGCTCGGGTACACCACGTAGGAGGACACCTGTAATGTTCTTGCACCTGCGTTGGCTCGCCTAGAACCATGGGGGAGATCTCTSAGCCCTCGCTCACAGGGCCAAAGCTGCCTTCGTGGCTTGGGGGATGCAGAGCAAGAACGGCCTTTTCTCTTCCAAGTTGGTCCTTTGCTGTGTTGCACCCAGGCTCCCTCCCAGGGTGACACACTGCTGAGGCTTAGGGTTCCTCACTTTTGGAAGTGAAGCTCATGGAAAGGGCATATGAAAGCACTTGGATTGCTTTTGGAGTTGCAAAACTCCACTTTTGCAGTTGGATATTTAATAGAGCTGTAGGCATTGCACATGTAGCAGTTTCCAGCTTAGACCTGGTTATTGTTTGAGGAGAGGGAAGAGGTTGGAGACTACTGCACGCTATGGCAAATAGTTACTGTTCCTGTGCTGAGGTAGTTTGTCATGAACTAGAGGCAGAGGATGGGGATGGTTGAGTCATCAGGGTTTCTCGGGAAGCCAAATCGATTGTCTGGCTGCTAGTAACCATTACCCCCGACATGCTTTAATAATACAGATGCTTGATGCTGTTGCTTTGTTGTTGCCTTTTTTAATAACAGGCCTTTTTCACTGAACTCCCTGGTGGGTTTTCAGGAATCTTCAAACGGAAGTTTTGGAATGTTGCTCTTAACTGTAGCTGCAGACGTCCTGGGTGAGGCGTGTGGGGTCCTCTGCAGAGGAGGAACCTCTCTCTCAGGGAGGCTGAGCGCGGGCTTAGACCACAGGGCCTGTCCCACACGCTGTGGCCCCTTGACTGCTTTTCTTTGCTCCTTGCAGAGGGAAACTGGGGCAGGCGACGGTACGGTGTAGGGCTCAGGCTGATGTGCTCAGAATATGACCAAAGTATACACAGCAACCTAAAAAAATCCAGGTTTCCCCCATCTACTAATTTAGATGTGCACCTTGTGACACACAGAGCGCTTTTCACAAGTGCCCTCAGTGAGCAGCTCCTCCAAATAAAGGGCGGGCTGCTACGAGTGTTGGACCCCGCGCTCCTAATTCACTCGCGCTTCCCGCCCTGGGGCCTGGCGTTCACGTGCGATGGCGGCGGGGTGGCTTGGCTCGTCCCGACCGAGCCATCTGCTCGCGTGCACGGATGTCATTACTCGTCCTCTGCAGATGCTGCAGCTCCTGGTGGCGACACGGGCCTGAAGCCCCAGAGGTTGTGGGGAGGTTGTGGGGGCCGAGGTGGGGTGGGAGGCCGGAGCGCCCGGAGGAAACAGGCTCTCCAGCTCCGGAAAGAGCATCCTAAGTTTTGTGGATTTTCTCTAAAACACTCATAAACGAGTAGCTGGGTGGGTTTTAAAGTTRTTGTAAAGGGTTTCCCTTTGTGTTCCAGTGTAAAAATGTTCCCTGGRTAGGGGAGGTGTTGAAGTGCAAGAATTTTGTACTCCAGAGAAACGAGGAATTTCTGCATTCTAATCCCAGTTCTGAGAAACAGCTCCTGTGGTCTGTGAACAACTCCCTAGTTGTTTTAACTCATGAATTAATCCGTGCCTTAATACTAAATAATAAGGTATCTAGGTTTAAGTATTTGTTTTTCCTTCAAAGTCCRTAAAATCTCCCTGATGAGATTAATGCCTAAAACCAACCTTCACAGTGGAATAGAAACATGACATCTCTAAATATAAATTTTATGTATTCTCATTCTGTAATTTGTTTTTAATGATTTGATAATTAATAGAGAACCACTAAATGTATTTTGGAAGTAAAAAAAAAACACTAATAATATTGAATTTAAAAGTGCTATCTAATGTCAAACCATTGCAGTGAACTAAAGAATGTTTTCTGTGGGAATTATCTACAGTAGCAAAATGAGAATTATTGAGGTCGGAGCTGTATGGATACCTTTTTGCAGCAACACTTCAAAGCTTGTTTTAAATGTGTGCCCATAGTAAGTATTTTTAAATTAAGACTATAAAGAAGGGAGCCTGTAGCCATAATTAAACCTGAAAAGCAATAGAAAAGTAATTTATGTACCATTTAATACAAACTGTTTGTTTACTGGTATTGGAAAAATAATCTCCCAACAAACAGTTAAAGCTGCTTTGACAAATGACGGACTTGCAATGCAAAAGTGGGCTTTTCTTCCAGGTAAATCATTTAAAATGCAAGAATTATACCCTGCTATCAAGTAATAAATTGAAATGTGAGCATTTTGTTAGGTCCCAGAAACTCTCTCCAAGTTGAGCCCCTCTGACAATATTTTAACAGTTCTCAGAAAATTTAAGATATTTAATTCTGTGAAAGAAGTACATACCAGATATCAGGGTGCATTTCAGGAGGCTCTACCCTTAAGACATAATTTTATGCTAAAAAGAATTGTTGTTTAGGTTTTTATTAGCCATTTCATACATTTCCTATTAATTTCAGGAGTGGTCCATTCTTTCTAAGAAAAACAACATGAATGCAGTTTTCTGTTGGTGCATTGAAGTAATTGATAACTGTATAYTAGGAATCCATCTGCCTTTTTACCATGTGCAAGATGTAAATAAAGATGTTTGTGTATGGAATTGCCCTTCATCATTTCCCATCTCACCATTTGTGTGCAGCACCGGTGCAGTCCATGTTCTCAACCAATTTTATATATCAGAAAGCTTTTTCTCCTGTTATTAAAAAAAAAAAAAAAGTTATAAAACATCTTGAGCTTCTTTTCACATGTATGTTTTGTTTTCTGTCCTTCCCTTTCACAGACCAAACTTGCCAATGGCACTTCCAGTATGATTGTGCCCAAGCAAAGAAAACTCTCTGCAAGCTATGAGAAGGAGAAGGAGCTCTGCGTCAAGTATTTTGAACAGTGGTCCGAGTCTGACCAGGTGGAGTTTGTAGAGCACCTCATCTCCCAGATGTGTCACTACCAGCATGGACATATAAACTCATACCTCAAACCCATGCTGCAGAGGGACTTCATCACTGCACTGCCAGGTACTGCTGCGAGCAGAGGAAGGTTGAGTCTCCGTTTTGTCTTTCAGAAAATGCTGCTGCTTGGCTTTCTGTGACCATGGCCAGTCCTGCTGAAGAGTCCTRTTTTACCATCAGTTTGCAAAACAGATGATAACATTTTACAATATGAAATGTAGTAATATTTTGTTTAGTGTTCTTAGTGTCTTTCAAGGTGTGATCTAAAATCAATGTGGCTTGGCTAGAAGTAAGTGATAGATCTGCTCAGTATGCAAAGGAAGCACAACACTGGGCCTCTGCCCAGTTGTACTCATAATGCCCCTAACAATGCACGAATAACAAAAGTTATACAAATGAAAACTACTCTTATTTTTGGTCATTCAGGYGGGTTTTCTTACCTGTTGTTTTACTTCTTTTACTTGTAAGATACTTCCCTGAAACTGAGTTGATTTTTTGTGTGGGTGTGAAATGCAAGCATAGGACAACACAGAGCAGAGCAAAGARCAGAACTGTTACACATATTTGCACCAAGGTAGTGCTTTCCATTAAGATTATTTTCCTGACTGTTCTCAGACAGGGCATTGGATGAATTTCCCCAGAATGCATACATTAAAATAGYATATAGGCAGCTTTGTATTGTTCCTGTCTCATAAATGAAAGGAGTGGGAGATAAAACATACTTTAATTTATACAGCAGTAGAATCTCAGAACCAGCAAGAAATTCCTACCTACTTTTTTTTTCAGACCATTAAATCATATCTCTATGGATTGATAGTTAATAGATCAGCATTGCAACAGCTTAGCGCCTTAGTTTCAGATGGACCTGAGTAGGAAGTGCTACAGTTTTTGCCTCTTGTTTCTTGCACAAAACTTGTGTGGACGCGTTTGTAGAACTGTGTTCACCATGTTCAGCCCACTTGTTTTCCTCAGAAGGGGTTTTGCAACCTGACATTTGAATTCTAGAGCTGGAAGAGCAAAAAGCAAGCTAAGAATAAAGGCACTGCAGGAGTGTTGCTATGAAGTTAAATGTGTAGACTCTCTGGATTTTTAAGCTCATTGTGCGCAGTAATCGAATGGCTATTCTAGTGTTTAAAAAAAAACTTAGTTATGCTAAGTACCTGCTTTATGTGAGTCTTTAGTAGTCCAATGGCAATAATCTCGTGCACTTAGAGCAGCTTTACAACTTGTGAAGCTGTTYTGTGTCAGGAAAATGGAGAGGATTTTGAAAGGGCACTGGTTTCTCCACTTTTAAAGTTGAAGTATACATATAGTTATATCCACTTTTTTTCCAGTTCTTTCTCCATTGTGCTACATAAAAACAAGCCACCATATCTCATTCTCCCTTGTTTAAGTTCATTCTTCAGGCTTTTTCCTGAAAGTTTTGGGCAAGCATTAGAAGTAGTTTCAGAAGCACCCAACATTTCCCTGCTTTTGTTAGTATGTTTTTCACAATAGTCAAGTACCTCTGTCTTTAAATTTGGCTCCCTCAGAGTGTAAAGCAGATAGGAATTAGGCAGTTAGTAACTGAGTATTTGAAGAGTTAGGGGAATAGTGTGCCTAGATAATGCATGTGAATGGATTTGCATGTTTGTGAAGTGCTCATGTCCTAATGACTATAATTTCAAGAGAGAAATTGCATGGCAAAGAATTGCACTGGCTAAAAGTGCAGTCAGGGAAAATGTCATGAGGAACATGAGTGGAAAGGGAAGGTGAGAAACTGCTAGGAAAGAATTTTGCTCATGGAGGTTGTAGGCCCCATGAAATCCTCTTCATCAAGGTATTATTGAAAGCATTTTAAAAATTAGAAGGCCTCAAGGACAGTAGAAGCCTTTATTTAAACCTAGCATTAGGAATTAAGTTGCATAAGCTAAAATAAGCTAAACTCTTTAAGGATTTTCTAGCTTTCTTGAAACCTCAAATGCTTGACAAGTTTGATTTTACACCTTCGTTTTCTCTCCTAGTCTCCCTCTCAAGTAAATTAAGCAATAAAATTACTCCAAGATCCTGATGCATCTTGTCTCTCTCCTCCTAATGCTGTCCCATAGAATGCCTGTGTTTTCAGGTAGTTTTATATCACGAACATGCCTTTTTAATTCAGAGTAAAATTGGTTCAGGTTGTGTTCCCAGGACTTTGGACAGCATTAAGGTTGTTTGAATAACCCCGATTAAACATGCATTTAACAAACTTTGTTCCATTTCTCAAAAGTATGCTCTCRGCTTAGAATTGCCAAGCAGTTAACATTTTTTATGAGGAAAGTCATTTTTAAGGGTTTCACGTGTGAAATAACTGAAACATTCATTCGGCTCCAGCTGCCTAGGACTGCACTGTACTGCAAGGATAACTTGGCGTGAAAGGCTGAAGGGCTAATCAGGTTTCACATTAGTTTATCAAAACCTTTTGTGAAGGGAAACTTCTCTTTTTTTTTTTTTTAAGAAAATGATGCTTTGGGGTATACATGTCTGTGTGAGCTGTGCTCTTCTTAAACGGAATAATAATAATGAGTTTGTAGCTGGGTATAATTTTGCCCGTTCATTCACCATAAGGGGAGTGAAGGGCTGCAGAAYAGCAGTATTAAGGGGAAGGGGATCAATGGCAAGAGTGACTTACAGTGATGGAAATATTTAATCCACCCCTCAATGGCAGGATTTCAAGTGCATCTACTGATAGTCTGTTGTGGATCCGAGGCAGAGCTGTAGAGGATTATCCTGCACAGTTTATGCTGTGCAGCCCTCTTTTATGCCACTAATCTATGCCCCAGATGCAATCACTTTTGCTCCCCAAAAACTCACATAAAGCCACTAGGGTATTTGTAAAACCTTAGTGGGTATGTGGGTATCTTTGGGCTGCTTGGRATCCACATAGGGGGAAATGGGAAAGCAAATGGGCTAACTTCACCCCACTGGACAAAGTGCAGGATGGCAGATATGAGGGCTGGAGAAGCACAACATTGTTGTCCACCCTGTTATCCACCCAAACGAGTTGTAAATGTCCTGCAGGTTCCAGTTTTTCACCAAAACATCATCTCTCTATAGATCACCATAAAATCACAAACACACTTTTTAAAGAGTTTTATGCAATAGGTGTCTATATCTTTTTAAATTAAAAGTGTAGTAAAGGCTGCTGAGGCTTTTATATTGCAGGTTGACATCTAATTTTGCATCTATAAAGATAAGAAATATCAGGCTTCTTTCTCCACTCTGTGACTGCATGCGGTACCATTCACACGCCTTTTGCACTTTATGAATGGAAGTATAAGATGTTGGACACCAGCATAACTGCCTCAAAGTGTAACTGTATTTGGAAATGACTGTAAAAATATACAGGATGTTTGGAAGGAGTAAGAAGAGACACGATGAGTTCTTTTGTGCATGGAGAGATCATTTTGAGCTGTTGGTTAATGAGAAAGTGAAGGTCGGAGCCCGCATCGTCTCGTGARCTCTTAATAAAAATCAGCTGATGGCAACTTGGTGTTTGCTGCAGAATGGCCCTGTGGCTGTAAAAATGCCTGTGCCACCTCTGCCTTGTGGTCGCTGGCAAGTGGAGCCTTGTTTTCAAGGCTGTCATTTTAAAGGCAGGAAAAGATGCATTTAGCTGTGTTCCACATGTGAAGAGGAGGGAAGATGCATGTAATGCCAATCTGCCATGCTTCCTTTTTGCTTGGTCTGAACGTTATGCCTGGAGGGTGATGGGGTCTGTCCTGCAGCTTCCCCAAAGCCCCTGAAACTTGACGCGTGAAGTGCGATAATCTCTTGACTCTGCGTGTCTCACTTGCGAACTGAGCTGCCTCCAAGAGGAATTGTGCTCATGCGGCAGCTCCTTTGATAGGCATCATATTCCTCTGAAGTCTTGCTAGTGGTAAAATTTGAGTGGGTAAGGGCAGATTTTTAGTGGATAAATCCATCCAGCCTAAGTAACATAGCATGACCTTCCCCAGCCCCCAGGTATTCAAGTTACACTAGCCTGTTCGGTGCTAATCAGGCTATGGAGCCAAAGCCCTGTAATTGTGGTAGTTGCTTGTTTCTTACTCTGTTGCCTTATATTTTACTCCAACCATGCTTGGTATTCAACCTGGAAAATATTTGCAAATTTTACCACTTTGGTGCATATTTCTCTCCACCCACTGAAATAAATGCCACCAGCAAACCTGCTTAGCTTTCTCYTTAGCCTGCCTCTTCTTCCCTCCACTTCCCTGTGCATCTGCATATTTTTCCCTCCCCCGTGTCTAAAGGTACCATTACCCTTCAGGGCACACATTGGGAATATATATTTTTTTCTTCATTACGTTTAAAAGCTACTGCTTTAGCAAAAACAGCTTTTGAGCCGTTGGAACATGAGAACAGCTGTAGCAGTGAGATGAGAAATGGTCCTAATATAGAGAGATTTTGGGGGCTGCGTTGCTGAGTTGGAAATGCCATCCATAGAATATCCCCCTAGTGCTAAAACCCATCGAAATAGATTGGAATGACTTCTTGGATTCTTTATTATTTTTAATGACTTGTTGTGTTATATCCAAAGGAAGTTGGAGAACGCTGTTCACTCCTGAACTTAGCTGCAAATGCTCTTCTGTGCCTTTGGTCCAGCTCTGCATGCAGAAGAGTAGCTGCAAAAGGCRTAGGGAAGAGCGGGTATCTTAACCTCCCCAGCAAGTAACGAGTCTGTCTTTTTCCTCCCCTAGCTCGGGGACTGGACCACATTGCAGAGAACATTCTGTCCTACCTGGACGCGAAGTCGCTGTGCGCGGCGGAGCTGGTGTGCAAGGAGTGGTACCGGGTGACGTCGGACGGCATGCTGTGGAAGAAGCTCATCGAGAGGATGGTCAGGACAGACTCCCTGTGGAGGGGCTTGTCCGAGAGGAGAGGATGGTGAGGTTCCCTTTCGTGCCTTCCTGACCGTGTTTGAAATGCGTTACTCAGCAYCTCAAAACTTCTTTTGGGTTGCACGACTGCTTACAGCGAAATTGGGGAGTTGGGGTTTCTCTCCAGGGCTTTATGTGGCTCTACAGGCAGTCTGGGGGCTTCTTTCTCACCTTGCTCCTCTGATCGTGCTCTTCTCCCGCTGTGACAAGTGAGATGTACAGAGTGAGATTTTTACGCCCAGCTGTCATTTGGTTCAAATTAAGAAGCTGTGTACGCCCCAGGGGAACACTAAACTTGTCAGCAGTTCAGAGGAGTTTTTTTAGGGGTGGCAATGGGGCAGCATGTGCTATGAATTAGTTGTTGTCTGATAGGTCTGTTTGTTTTCCTCAGCAGATTTTCACTATTAGATATCTGTTTAATTTTCAAACTGGAAGCTGAGGRTAGGTACCACGGAGAATAGGGGACTTTAGAAATGCAGATAGATTAGTTAATAATCATCTGGAATAGCCTTACTAGAGTGTGGGTCTCACTCAAGTTTGAAGCTGCTCTGTTAACATTTCATTAGAACTTTCCCTCTCAAGGGTACCTCCTTTAATACATAATTTTCTTTTCCAAGGGTGTCCCTAGGATGTTGGCAGAAAGGAAGCTGGGTATGAATATTTCATAAACAAGATAAAAGTGACAGCTCAGGCATTTTGGTTGCTATTAAAAAGAAAAAGATACCGAGTTGCAAACAAAGACTTGTGCTTCACGGTTAGTTTTGTTGGACTGTTTGTCTCGGGAAGTGAAGGCGAGTAAATCACAATTGTGAAATCTCCTTCAAAAATAAGTCCTCTGTTGATCTCCTTCCAGGAGCCTAATATGTATAAAAAGAGTAAAGAACCACAACCGTGACCCAGTTAGCTTTTACATCTCCTGTAGTGGCTTGGTCTCTCTTGGACTTTTGCTTTTTATTGTTGAAAGTCTGTAAGTCTGAAGAAAGATTAGGTAGTCTCTTCTGCTCCCCAAAGGCAGAGCGAGCTGCTTCTAGTCATCCCAGGTGCTTCTGCAACTCAGCTTTGAAAACCTTCACTGATGGAGATTCCCCGTGCCTTCCTTCCTTGGTCAAGCAATTCCATTGCTTCCCTATCTTTACTGTTAGAAAGACTTTCCTAAATTCTAAACTCAGTCTTTATTACTGCAGTTCATCCTGTTTTATTTGCCCTGCACAGACATAGAAGGCAGTTTCTTGCTCTCTTTTTTGCAGTTTTTCACAAGTTTGACAATAATCATGTTTCCTGCGTACTGGATGCACTCAGCAACCCTAGTCCTGTGCTTTGTTGTTTGCTTGTCATTCATAGTTTACTTGGGCTGAATCCTCAAACCCACCATTAGCCCCTCCACTAGTGGAGGATGATGTCCCAGCTGGACTTACTATGGCCAGAGGGACACCAGAGTTGGATAGTTTGGGATTGCTTTTCATGTCTTATGGAGGACACTCCAGTTTATGTTCAGCAGGAGAAAATGTGCTTTTTTTAATAGTAGTACAATACTGTTATATGGTCCTTTCAACAGCCTTTTTTATAGCAGCTGTTCTTGGCCAGTGCTCATCATCTTGCATGTTTATATTATTACGAAGTCCTGAACTTTGCTTTTGTCTTATTGAATTGAATTCTGTTTATTTCTTAACATTTCTCCAACTTTATTTCTTAATATTTCTCTACCTTATCAGGAACATTAAAAGCATAATCTAACCCTGCAAAATGCTTGTAGCATCTCCCTGTTTYAGTATCATTGTCCGTGTAATAAATGTGGCCCCATTCCATCCTTTGTCAGTAAGGAAAATGCTCTGTAACAGTCTGTTTAGGAGACATCCCCTGCAAGGACCAGCTGCCTTCCTGTTTGACAGTGCACCATTAGTAACCCATTCTGTGTGGGCACCCTTGAGCACTTAGCACTTCCAGCAAGACTGTATCTCCTTTTCATTTTTTAATAAAAGACCTGCATTTCTCTTCTGTTCTCTGGAACTTTATACCTTCTCTGCAGCTCATCGAGGTAATAGCTAGTTATTCTGAAGTTACTCCCTCCAAGTTTAAGAAATTGCATTAATACTCCTTACTAGGCTTACAGACACATGCTATTTCTAAAACACAGTTACAAAATGGTGCTTCTCATCTCAAAGGGGGCAGTTGTAACCTGTTCCTGCACCTCTTCTCCATGTCTGTGCTGCATCCTGGAGGTTGTTCTGCTACAGCTGGAGCAAGTTGTGCAGGCTCTTTCAGATTGCCCTCTGGTTACCTCTAGAAGATATAACTGCAGGAATGGCAGGATGGATAAGAGAGGCAGACAAGAAATATACGGTGTAATTGCATCTCTGCCATACAGAGCTTTATAGCTTGTAATCAGCCCTATGAATGGCACAAGGAAGTGACTAGGTGGACAGTTCAGAGTGATAGATGGCTGGTGTTATTTGCTTACAGCTTCTCGCTTAGCTCGGCACATGGGCTGCCTGATTTCAGCATGAGCAGTCTGTGGTTTACAGCAGAAACCACCCAAACTAGCCTTCCCTGCCAGCTAGTCAGGGAGCAGAAAGGGTTAGAAAGAGATTTAGAGAAGAATAAAAACAGAAGCCCAGAATCAGGGCTTTATTATGTCCATCTGAATAGTAGATTATGTTGGCCAGTCATCAGAAACTGCCGACAATAGTTTCTTTTATCAGAGAGGAGGGCTGTGGAAGTTCCAGCAATCCCTTAGCTATACATGCAGYAAGGCTCAGTTTGTAGGGAGACAAGACCGTTCTTTAGGTCAGCTGATAAAACTGGAAACAACAGTGAGGTTTTCAGGCAGATAGGGTCATATACATACTGTCCTACACCTATCCCAGATCATCCAGGATGTGCCTTGCTCATTTTGCATATCTCCAAAATATTTTCAGTTTCCCTGGAGCAGTAATGTTGATTCTCTTGCATGGACTTCCAGGTTACTATTTCACGTAGATGACAGTGAATAAAGGTCCATGAAAGCAGCTCTCTTTCAGTACACCCTAAATAGTTTCTTTTTTTTTTTTTTTTTTAAGAAGTTTCAAAGTGCTTTTCTTGAGCATTTATTTGGCTTGGTCAGTGTTATATAATATATATCTCCTTAAAAACAGCCTTGAATCATGGTTGAGCTTTCTCTAACGCAAATTTTACAGAGTACAGGAGGGCAGCTCACACAGTGCCTCGCAAATGAATTTCAAGCTATACTGCGTGGAAAGGACAAGAAAGAAATGCACAAGGAAGTATTAAACAATTAATTATAGCGTAATGGAGAAAGGGAGGGGGAAGCGGAGCGCTGGCCCAGCGTAGACCCTGCGCCTCTGATGCCAGGATTACACTCGGAGGCATTTGTGCCTCTCTCCGTTTTGTGAGGCATGGTGCCAGGCAGAACAGCAGTTAGTACGCCCATGGTGGGCTTTACTAGCTTCCACACCGTGTTTGGTGCCTTCTTAACTTCAGGATGAGGAATTAAAGTTTTTTACCCAGCAGGTAGTGATTGCCGTTTGCGGGGTTTTTTTTGGAGCAAAAATCTAACTTGGGATATGAGTATTCCAAATCAGTATTGAAGTGGGGAAGGCATCACAGATGAAGAGCTCTTTACCAAAATCTAGTAGTAGCATAAAATGACCACATACCAAAGTTGATGCTGCTCCTGCCAGTACAGATCAAGGCTGGCCTTAAGTGCATACTGGTTTTGAGCATTTCCTTTGCTGATTTTCTTTTCAAGGCGACATACGATAAGGGTATGTGTGTTGTGGACATGAGCCATTCTCACATCCTATTGAGTTAAAGGAGCTAATGTCCAAAAGAGATAATATATTTCCCTTCCGTGAGTGATTAGCAACTGCTTTCCCATAAATGTGTATCAGTGTCTCAGTGAAAGGCAGATATGTTGCAGGGYGAACAGAATGAGGAGCCGTCCTGTCTTATGGAGTAAATTAAGTGTGAATATGAATCTGTCTGTGCTTTTCAGCAGTTGTTAACCATTTGTAAAATGTCAAGAAGGCCTTTCTCCAAAACTCTGAAACAGATTTGTGCTCAGTAGGAGTGTTCTTTGTCTTCTAGGGGACAATACCTATTTAAAAATAAGCCTCCTGATGGGACTGCACCACCCAACTCCTTCTACAGAGCACTTTACCCCAAAATTATACAGGACATAGAGGTAAGAAACATCTGTGTGTTTTTTTTTAATCTCCCTGACTTATTCAGGCTAAAATTTTGAAATTGGTTCTGTTAAATATGCCATGTTTGTATTTGTCCAGAGTTTGTAAATCTTGGATACATACACAAGATCCTAGGGCTTTGTCACTCATTCAGACAGAGGATGAGTTGGATTGCTCAGTCAGCTACTTGAAAATGCAGTCACAGGTGCTTTCTCAAACAAAAATAATGAGGAAGACAGTTSCATACTTTATTTTTATTTCTCTTTTTTTTCCTTTGTGTTTCCTCAAGACAATAGAGTCAAACTGGCGATGTGGAAGGCACAGTTTACAGAGAATCCACTGCCGAAGTGAGACAAGCAAAGGAGTTTACTGTTTACAATACGATGACCAGAAGATAGTAAGTGGCCTACGAGACAACACTATCAAGGTGAGAATTTTTCAGAATGCCATACTCAGTAACGTATATTGTTTACTCCCTAATTAATACTACGTTCTAATTCAGTGACACCTGCCAAGACTCTGGTTAAATGACTTTGCCAAAAATGATTTCTTCCCAGTATGTAACTTAGTCTTTTCCTTCTGCCACCTCATGCCTGAGCAGCGCGTGTGCCTGTTGTGTGTGGCAAGAGAGCTTACCAAGCAGACTGTGCTGCTGGAGTTTCTGTCCATCTGTAATTACAGGCCATGTAATTACTGTGCCCCAATGAGAAAGATAAAACCAATGTACATAATAAAGGCAGAAGTATCAAAGTTTTTAATGTATTGCACTAAAGAGCCCATGGAAGACTACAAAGACTGGCCCATGCCACTAAAGAAGTTCTAGCTGCAATATAGGTGGTGGATTGTAATAACAAAACAGAACAACTGACCAGTAAGTACTTATTATGTGATGAAAACCTTACTTAGCAACTGGTTTTGAATGTTTGCCATCCTAGATCTGGGATAAGAATACATTGGAATGCAAACGAATTCTCACCGGCCACACAGGTTCTGTCCTGTGCCTCCAGTATGATGAACGGGTGATTATTACTGGATCTTCAGACTCAACTGTCAGGTATGTGCCCTTCAGTCTGAGCTTTCTGTTTGCCTTTCCCAAGCCCGGCCTTGTTAGCTGCTGAAATGATCTGTAACTACGTGCTGTTCAGTCAGTTCCATGAAGTGGAGCAGCACCTTTGTTGAGGAGCACACTGTTCTTGTTTATCAGATGTCCACGCAAGTGGCTGTCCAGGAGAAATGAGAAATTAAAGGTCAGTCAAGCTCAAGGTGATTTAGGAAGACCATTTTGTTTCACCCCAATTTGCATGTTTGGATCCTGCCTAAGCCCGAGGATAACTTGTAAAAAAATGGGTTGAATTTCTGAAAACAAATTTGAAGATTTAGTTACCTGTTTTCCCTTAATTTTAACCAAGAATGAGTGAATAGATCTCCTGTGGCTTTAAATTCAGTTTCAGCATGATTCATCTTCCCATTCAGTCTTTCTGCGCTCTGGTAGGCTCTGGTAGGACACCTCAGTCACGACTTGAGGTGCTTATTTTCACTTTGCAGATACGAAGTTCATTAGACGTATGAACTTCTGGGGATTCTAATATCTGCAATGTATATACAGCCATATTTGAATTAGTGAGTTGCAATATGAACCTGGAGATGATGGAGCAAACGCTTCTTCCCTGTGCTGTTATATGTCCTCCTGTTGTCAGAATACAAAAAACACCCATGCAGTGAAGTTGGGGGCAGCACAGAGCTGTGTCAGTTGGCCTCTTCTGAAGCTCTTAGCATGTGTTCCTGCTATGCTTGTGTCAAGGCTACCTGTTAGGCTAGTGACCATTAAATTCAGCCCCTTACATGTGCTGCATGCAGTCATGTGGTGCCAATTCCTATAATTAGTAGGAATCCAGAATTTAGGCAACACCACCTATCTGGAGATCCAGCCCTGCGTTAGTCAGTATGGGCCCTGCACTGTGCTAAACACAGATTGTAAAAGGAGAGGCTGCTCTCCATAACAAGCACTTTAATTTTCCACACCAGACCAGGCAGGCCAAATTGCAGACTGGCCGCTTGCCCAGAAATACTTTGGTTCCTACTGTATCTATAAATGTTTGCGCAGACTCCAAAGGCACAAGGGATTCATCACTTTTATCCTTCTTGGGTCTCTCCAGGAAGAGGGGCTTTATCCAATAGACAGTACAGATGGGTTCTTAATGCTTCCCAGATCTCAGGGATGCACTTGTCCAGGGAAGGCAGTAGGTCTTGATCTTCTGTTCAGTTTGGCAACCCTGTCTGCAAATTGCTTGTATGCTAATAGCTCGGGTCATTAGTCTGTGGGCTTTTTTTCCTTTGCATTCTGTAATTGGCAGCATACTCTTCTTTCATTTGAAGTACAGAAGTTTCAGCATCTCTGCATTAGACAATAAGACTTCAGGAAGCTTTCTCCCATCTTGCCTTTTCTCCCTATTTACCTTATTAGCAGAAGAAAGCTTGCATGATGTCTGTTTTGTCTGCTAATAGGGGTTTTTCTGCCCCCACTGTAGGTGGAATATTACTGTGATAACACCAAAAGAAATGTTTTTATGGAGGATTAATAAGTTTGCAAACAGGTGCCCAAAATAACATATTTAAGACTTAAAATCTCCAAGTCACAGAAGTTCTGTATTGAACTCCACTGTAACATTTTTTCATCTAAAGTTARCTGTTCATCTAACAGTTCATTCCAATAATACTAATTTGTCAGAAAACCTCTTTCTTAATTTGGGTATTCAGTACATTCCTAAAATGTAGTCGTGTACCTGAAGTGTTGCTGAGTGAATTCACTGTGCAACTTTGTGCAATTGCTTATGTTTGTCAGAGAAGTATTATCTTATCTTCTGCCTCTGTATAAATTATCCTCTGTGTTGATAGTGCTGTGAGAGAGGTCAAAAGTCTGAATCTGCTTCTGAACTTGCCTCTTACCAGGTCATGTTTAAGTGCCCCTAGACTGGAAATGGAGTGTGTGTTAGGCTTAGATAATGGGGAACTTGCCTCATTATCGGTCTTTAGGTCTGTCCATCCCATACCTTCCCTCAGCACTAAATTCTCTTAATTAGAGTGCTTTTCCTGGCTGAGTTGTTTTTATGATGTTAACTGCATTGCAGGGTTTTTGGCTGCTGGACTGTCTCCACATACCCATAATCAACAGTTTTATGTAATAGATCTTGTAATGAAATATTTAGCTGATTTAGATATAACTTGTGTTTTTTGCTTCTCTAATATTACTAGAGAGTTGATTACCTCCCTGAGCCACTCTTCTCTGCAGAAAGAGAGATACTGACTGCTTTTTAACCCCTTTCACCTCCGTTTTGATGCTTGCACCTGCAGGGTGTGGGATGTGAACGCGGGCGAGATGCTGAACACGCTGATCCACCACTGCGAAGCAGTGCTGCACCTCCGCTTCAACAACGGCATGATGGTGACATGTTCCAAGGACCGCTCCATTGCCGTGTGGGACATGGCTTCGCCCACGGACATCACCCTCAGGAGGGTGCTAGTAGGGCACCGAGCCGCTGTCAACGTAGTGGACTTTGATGACAAGTACATCGTATCAGCATCAGGCGACAGAACTATAAAGGTGAGGTGGTTCAGAGGCTTTTTTATTTACAGCATTGGGAATTTAATAACTAAGAACAATGACCAGATAGAGAAGACAGCTGTTATTACACAGACCTTTCTTTAAAAGTAGTGTCTTTCCTGCTGCTCATTTCCACTCATTCTTCCTCTCTTGAGCTCACATAGCTTGTTTAGAAAGCTGTGTGGCACATCCGATACAGGTACCAATGCAGTTGAAAAAGGACTGGTATTTTTTCTGTGTTCTTTTTCAGCTGGACTAGTTCTATAATTTATTTCAGCATCAGTCACACAAATAGTTGTCAGAGGGCTGCATGAGGGGCAAAAGCAAAGGTGAGTGGATAGGAATCACTTAGATGTTGCTGCTGGAATCCTAATCTGTAACATTAAAACTCGGAAAAATCTGGTTCCTATATATGTTAAATCACAGTCTGAGGGTGTTAAAACCTAATTCTGGAAGCTATAAATGGCAAGAAATGGCAAAAGCTTTCTATGTACAGCAACCCAGGCTGCCAACAGCAGCAGGCTGTAGCCACAAGTTACTGAAAGAGTAATTTTCCCAATCTCAATGATAGTATTTCCAATTACAAAAATTCCGGATGCGCCTATATATCTCCCATATAGCAGCTTTTGTTAGTCTCTTCTTAATAATTTTGCCTGTGTGTGTTTTCCCCCACCTCTCCTGTGACAGGTATGGAACACGAGTACCTGCGAGTTTGTGCGCACCCTAAACGGGCACAAACGAGGCATCGCGTGTCTGCAGTACAGAGACAGGCTGGTCGTGAGCGGCTCGTCGGACAATACCATCAGGTGAGAGACACAGTGAGTTCTGTGCCAGCACGTTGTGCCTGCTTCCCTGGGCAGTGGGGGGCTTAGCTAACTGCAGTGGTCTGTCCCCTTGTCGTCGTTGAAATATGCTTCCTTTGGCGTAGAACGTTGGGAGCTACTGGGTAGAGATATTAGAAGCCTTTTTTACAGTGTTGTCTTCTATCCTCTGTATCTCAGGAGACCCATACTRATCAACGAGTTGCACTGCTCTGACAATTCTGGTGTATGAAAGAGCTGGCAAGGACCACTTTATGTGATGTCCTCTTGTGATATTTTAATTGGGCTATGTGTCTAGTTAAAGGGGTCAGATTTGCAGTAAGAGGCATTTAATCCTCTGCAGAAATCCTCCTGGGCTCTCGCCAAACTCCTCATGGTACTTGGCACCCGGTAAAGTTTGGAACAGCTGGTTTGGAGCATGAAGTTCAGTTTGCTCCCTTTTGCGCTTCTCCAGCTGCCCTGGTTGCAATCTGAGATTTAACTCCCTCTGATAGGAGATGGGATTTCTCCCTACAACCTGCAGCTGCTGACAGAGAGATGTCCCACTGTCACCTTTGCTAGGGGCAGACTCAAATAGTAATGTGAGTGATGTAGGGGAATGACTTCATCATGCAGGCAGGAAGAAGAACAGCTTCCCTTTTAGTCTTTACCATTGATTCAGAGAGCTCTGTGCCCTCTAATAAAGCTTGAAAGCTGGACAGCCTAAGCAGAAGAGCTTCTCATTCCAAGTTGAAAATCATTTCTCAGTGAAAATGATTCATCCTGCTATTTGCTTGTGCTCTTTTTTTGCAGCAAGCTGCCTCTCCCTGCTTTGGAGTGTGTAAGAAAATTATAGTCCTTTAGCTATCGCTAGGTTATTGTACCAGATTTTACTGTATGACTGTCTGAGATTGTGGCTGAGGAAGAAAAACAGATGGTCCAAGAGAGCTGGGACTTTCCTCTCTTAAATGAGGAGAATAGGCGTTACAGGCATTTTACAAGAATAACACAACTTACAATGAGAACTCCTGCACTTCAAATACTAAAAATATTGCTCTGCAATTTGGTCCCAGAATTAGAGTAATAAATAGTTAAATATTGCAGCACCTCGGGAAGATTTTAAAATATAGCTTGTAATATGAATAAAAGTAAATGTCAATATAGTAATAACACTAAAGAGGAATGTGATTACTTTTATGCTTACACTGGACAAAATCCCTAGTTGACAGATAAATTGTGCTAGAATTTCAGGAATGTTGGCAGTGAATCTTAATGGATGTCAGATTTCACAGCTTTGTGGGCAAGGCACAAAGCTTACCTGCTCACTCTTCTTTCAACCATTAGCAGAGGGCACATGTCAATGGAAGGGTGTTTAAAAAGGGGCAGATTATAATTCCTCTTCCTGGGTGGCCTGGTGTTCTGTATATTTGATTTTAATCTACTGTAAAATACCAGGTGCTGTGTTTTGGCTTTAGTAGAGGTTGCAGCCTAACATGGAATTTGAAGTTTGTCATTCTTCAGTTGCAGGGAAACTTTTTCTCCGAAAGGGAATGAGACTGTGTGATTTCCTGTTCTGTACCTGCAAATCCAAGGAGTGTTAGACTTAGCTGGAAAATTAAAATCATTTTTATTAAGAGAGACTCCATAAAAGGACATATATCTGCAGATAGACATCACTATAATATTGCTAATTTCCATCAGGTAAAAACTGACCTATGTAGTTTAATCAGGTTACTTAAATCCAACCATTTCAGTATCCTGGCCTCTAGGGGCAAAATTATTAAGTCAGAACACAAAAATCAAGAGAGTTAGACCTGATCATCCATCCTGGGTTCATTTACAAATGAGAGGTTGATTTGCATGTGTAATCATCCTCCAGTGTGTGCACGTCTAGGGGATCTGATGCTGGACTCTAGACAGCAGCTTTCTCTCTAGGTGATGGGCATTCAGACTGGCCCACATTCTGCGTGACTTCCAACTCTGACAGGACTGCACAAGAATTAAAGGGTGACATTATTGCAGACCTCCCTCTATTTCCAGGTATTTTCCCCAAGATATAGGAAGGAGGAGCTTGTAGTATCCTTGCCTGCATGTGCTTTCCAGTGATTTTTATAGTTAGTTAGTTYTTAAGCCTAAGAATAGTTCTCTTGTTATTTAGTTCTTTGACTGTTTAAAGAAGAAATAATTTGAGAAGATTATTAAGTCTGGGATGTGCCTTTGCCAGCCAAATCTGCTCGTCATAGAGCTGAAGATTTGGGATAAGCTGCTCTTGAGTTTTCCTTATCCCATTTGTGCGCRAAGGCCCATTCCCCACATGGCTAGGGACGTGATCATCTTTTCTAATCCCAGTTGGATTCAGGTGGAAACTCAAAACTGGTGATACAGGCCTGAATTATCACAGCCTTCCAAAGCTGTTGGCACACTTGGGATTGATGGCAAGAAGTGGAAACACATGGCATGGAAGTTCCTGGCATGTGATTGCGCTTTGAACCTTTCTGCACCAGTTCATTTCTGGCATTGCCCATCCTGTTGACAGTCCTTGGGACACTTAATGCTGCCTGACCAGCCGGAGTGCCTTTGGCAGACCTTTGCCACAGCATTGCTTGCTCTGACCTTGACTGTTCCTAATGTGGAAACTACTGGGATCTTCACARATTCCTGAAAGATCAACTTCAGTGATTGAGGAATCATCTCCTTGGCCTTAAATGTAGGTATAGGCAAATGTTTTCCGAGTCCTACAATGAAGAAGGAGATCTGTTCATTCCTCCATGCTCCAGAGGGAGAGCAGCTTGTTTTGGCAAGCTCAAGAAGTCATTATCCATTAGCCCTGAGCACACATTCATTGGATCTGGGTTATTCCCTGGGGGAGGATCTCAGGGATAAATATATGGGGACAATTTCTTYGTCTGTCTCTCTCTGAAGGAAAAGTGACCCGATCCATCAGCAGCTGTGCTGCTTTGAGATGAGTCACCCGGACAGATTCCATGAACCCCTTGTCCTCCTCACTACTGTGAACTCCATGTCAGTATGAACTCTTATTTAATAAACATTTAAGAATTTTTGTGACTGCATTCTTCTTTCAGCTGCATGTCATAGGATCACAGTAGCTACTGCTATTAAAAGATTACTGTTTGTCATGAACAGAGCACGTATCATCCAGAGGTGAAATACATACAGCCAATACATGTCAAAGACCTTCAGTTCTTAGAGGCAAATAATCCCTCTTTATCCATGATAATTGGGAGTTACGTCAAGAAACTGACAAAAGAACAGAAAGCAAATTGACTTACTTCATAACTGTTTCAAGCATTTCTTAAAGATTTGTCAGTGTAGTGTGCAAGGGTAAAAAATGATGTGTTTTAATTTATTCTCCATGGTAAAAATCCTTCATGAAGTCCAAAACTCTTGAGTTATTTACATTTGAGAGAATAACACATAGTTGGGACTCTTCCTGGAATGCTACGTCCAGTTTTTGGTGCCAGAATTTTTTAAGGCTGTTGGAGTATTAGAAACAGTTCAGCAGAGAGACACAGAAATTATCTGAGAGCAAGAATGCATTACAAAATCGTAAATTTAGAATGCCCAACGTTTTTGCTTCCACATAAGGTATCTTCATTACAGAGTAAACAGACCTTCAGTGGAAGAAATTGGTGGATAAAAAAAAAAAAAGGCTTGTAATTCTTGTTCCTGTCACCACTATATTGATGTCTAAATTTGTCTGACATTAGCTTCCAAATCAGAAATAGGCGAGTAGGGGTACAAAGATTGTTGTCTACCCTGTGAAGGCAATTTACCTACTGCAGCAAGATGCCAAGAGGATTGGTAAGTCTCCCTCTCCTACTATCTTCTAGTCAAGGCAGGATATTTTTATGAAAAATGGACTTCAGTAAAACAAAGTTATGAGGCTCACTACAATGATAACTGAGAGATATCCTGTAGCTTGTGTTACTAGATCAGTAGATACTAGACCCTTTTGGTTTTAAAATACTTGGATCTCTGAATCATTTCCCATGTGGTGCTATAACACAGAAGGGTCATGTTGAAAATCCATGCATCCAGCTTAACTGCAGGAAAAGGAATGATGAATGTCTTCTTTTTTTATTTTGTTGTTTCATCAAAAACGTTATTTCCAAGTTTCCATTCAGTACAAGAAAGGACCAAAACTTTCCTTGCAATAATCAGATGTTCAGAACTTTTCAGTACTTCTTCCTCATCTCTTCCAGGCTGTGGGATATCGAGTGTGGGGCGTGTTTACGAGTCCTGGAAGGCCACGAAGAGCTGGTGAGATGCATCCGCTTCGATAACAAGAGGATAGTCAGCGGGGCGTATGATGGGTGAGGCTGTCCTGCAGTGTGGATACCTTGAATCCTCCTGTCTCTTTTGTCTCCTGCTTTGCTAGACATTCCTTTTAAAGATTAGAGACCTTGCCARTCATATTGAGAGAGCCTTTCATGGCCAGTAAATAAGAAGCATGCTGCAAAGTACACTTATTTTCTTCCTTTGAAGTGAGTCCATATGGCTTAATATGTGTAGACCAGTTCCTTAGCTCATAAGAATATCTGGCAGACTCCTTATGAATTGTTTTCTATTTGAATTACTGGTAAGAACGACCTGTAGTTCTCTCCTTATGTTTTGGTTTTCTTTTTTGTGATGGATCAGAAATCTGTCCATAAGCAAAAAGTGAAACTGTTTTTTAGCAGATGCAGTGTATCTTTTTAACTGCACTTAGTTGCTTCGTGAGCATGTTTGCCTGTATCCCTTTTTTCCCATAGCTGGACATCAGGTCACGGTTAAGCTGTTTGTGGTTTGCTAACCACATCTTGTCAACACATGTTGTCTCATACAACAGTTTCCTGATTTTTGCTCTGTCTTGCCCTTTTGTGTTTTGCCTTTACAATTCCCCAATTTTTGATGCCTTTCTTAATATACTTCCAAGAAAGCCTCGGTAGAACTCTGTGTAGCTGAGTTTCTTAGCTATATTCCAGACCTCTGAGAATTTGTTTGCAGTGCAGGTAGCAATGTGTGGAATGTGGAAGAAAAGAATATTCCTAATCTTTCCTTCTGAAATGTTCAGCACTTGCTGATTCAGGGGAGGAGGTGTCTGAAATTTTCCATAAAAACCACCTACAACTGCTGCTGGCAACAAATTATTCTCGCCATTTCTCTGGTAAAGAGAAAGACCAATAATGGGTTAAGGAGGGAGTGAGTTTCTATTGGGAGAGTCAGATAAGTGCAGAGGTTGACACACAGGATTGCTTTCTAAAATATGTAGCACCTTCATTACACAAATGTTCACATTCTTTCTCAACTGTGATTTTGTCTTTTGGGCCATTCGCCTTTTTGCAGACTGTGCTAACCCTCCTGCATGTTCCTGTGTTAGTTATTGTCATCTGCTTTTACATGTTTTACTTTGTTTTAACTGCCCATTTTTTTTCTGCTATTAAGCTCTGTGAGCTTTATGAAGGAGAAATGCTAGAATCAGGTCTCAAGAGAAGAAAGATTTCTATAGTTTTCCATGAACTGGTGTATTAGCTGAGCTGTGCTAACAGTTACTTTTTTCACAGTAAACACTTGCTCTCTTTAACAGAGCTGTGGTGTTTGTCTATTTTTTCACTACTAGGAAAATTAAAGTGTGGGATCTGGTGGCTGCTTTGGACCCTCGAGCTCCAGCAGGGACCCTCTGCCTGCGAACCCTTGTGGTAAGAGTTTGTGGTAGGAGTGGTGGAGAGAACAGCAAAGCGTCCTTGATCAGGACTGCAAGATCTAGAAAAAAGATCCTGAGAAAACTGCAGGTTTACTGGAAAACAAGGGAGCTTGAAAGACCTGTCCAATATAGATTCCATAGGCAGTCACAGACTGTYGCTTCAGAGGGTCAGTTCTCTCTGCACAGTCATGTCACCCCTGCAGTATTTTGCATCAGTGCAGCGCTAAGGACTATCTTCAAGTAGATATATTAGTTTTTAGTACCATGAGGCATAGTGCGCATGTTTCCATGTGGATAGAGGGAGTAGTTAAATCTTTTTATTCCTCTTTTAGGTAGAGGAAGTTTTGCTTCTTTGGGAGTCCAACCTTTTTTTTTTTTTTTTAACCTTGCGGGATAATTAAAAATTAGAAGCAATGGAGGTTTCTTTCACTTCTGAAGTTTTGCTCCCTGGTTTTAAGCTCATAACTAAATCCATTATGAGACTTGTCCTTGCAATCCATTTGCCAATGGGTTTTCCTTTACCCATTTGTGCATCTAATGATGTAGTCCATGTTTTCTGAGTTGTTGGCATGAAATTTCCTGAAGAATGGTAGTACCTGCCAAATTTTGGAGGAACAAGAGCAAAAGYAACCCTGAAACTGCTTTTTAGTGTCTTTTGATGCCGAAGGAAAGAGAGGGTAATGACTGGAAGGAACAAACAGTGAAACTGCCTCCTGCTTAGACAGTGACTACACTGGCGTTGCTCTTATGCTGTCAGTTGTTGTTTAGTGCAGGTCTGCTGAAGGTGACCAAAATATCAGTGTGTGAGTGATATCATCATTCACAGTCATGCTTAGCAGTGGCTTTGTTAGAATGAAGTGGGAAGGTTGTGAGAAAAACTCCAGTGCAGCCAAGGCSGTGGGATGGTGCCTGTAAGTATCTCTGTATCCCAGTCACGCCTGACATTTGGGCTGTTGCTGTCCTGACCATACTCGCCCTGGAGATGAATGACCATTTTAGTCCAGTACCAAATTCAYGTGGAAAAAAACTACTGAAGTTTTTAGAAAATAACTATTTGGGCTGTGGTGGAGTCAGCATACATTAAACCTATTCCTGCTGTGGTGTGTCACTGTTGCCTTTGCTCTAAACCAACAACGTGCCGAGGCCGCCGGATTCTCTAACCATGGGGTTACCTCTCATCAGTGGAGCTGCTCTAGGTGACCTGCACACTCAGCGACCACCTGAATTGCCACTGTTGCTGCACATTCCCCTAATGTATTTTACTTCACATTTGGCACAGGCTGTGCAGGTTTAGAGTGACTCAACTGACAGGCAGTAGCTCATTAGGCCATGCTAACTCTTTTTCAATCTTGTATTTGGAGCATAAGCTGCAGAATAAGAGTCCGTGAGTGCCTTGGATGCCTGCAGGTACTGTGTTGAAAAACATTCCTGTTAGCCAAATAGAACTGCAGATAGTTTCGTGGCTGAAATCCARGAAAACCTTTTGTCACTGGCCACTCATTTGCAAACTGTGGCACAACTCTGTGCCYGTGAATACATATCCTGAGCGCCTACGACTTCAGCATGCTATTAGCTCCTGCTCCACTCTGAGACAAATGTKTGCTTAGTAACCTGTAGACTTAATTTAACTACTGTGATTTCCTCTGCATTTTCCAGCAGTGGACAGCCCAAGTGCCYCAACTAATTATATTATAAATCAGAAGCAGTGGGATGGAAACACTGTAGGAATCTCAACACATGGATACTCATAAATCCCTGTTTGATAGCAATGGAGAGGGGCAAAAGAGGAGGGGCAGAGCAGGCTCTTGTGGTGCTTTTAGGGCTTTTCATGTTTATGACAACAGGGTGTCCTTATACCCACATGCCCACGAATTTTTTTTCTTTTTTTCCCTCTCTGCTCTTGGCCTCCAAAATTAAACCTGGCTGCACAATGAACATCGTGAGTCTCCTGCTGCTCGTGTTCAATTTTCAAACAGTAGGAGGAAAGCGCGCGGATAACGAATGCTCCCCGCATGCCAGGTCCTCCCTGGTTTTGTCCTCCGTTAGATGAAAGAGCAGCTACGTGAGTCTGACAGCAGCTTTCCAGGCTCAGAATAAGCCCAGGGCACAGCTTCCCTTATCCACTCAAGAGTTCGGGTCCTTGCAGGCTGCACTTGTGATGTGCAGCCTGCTTATTGCCCCCACCGCAGTGGCAGCAAAGGGCAGGGGCGACGTGGAGCATTTATGGCAGCTTTCATTAGCCTGCAGTGACTGGGGAAAAAGAAGGGCTTTSAAAACAGGTTTTAGACATGCCCGGCTCTCTTAGTGCCTCTGTGAACAGGCCCTCAGTGGATCTGGCTGTTGTAGTGATAYTTTTTTAGCAGGGACTTCTTTACACTGCTGATAAATCATAGAAACTGGAACCCGAGATCCCTTTGGAATAGGATCCAGGAATAGTTAGAAGCCTATAAAATATTTTTAAGATAAATTCGCATGGTTTGGTTAGAAGATCAGGAAGGTTCCAGTGATTTAATTTTCTTAAAATTTATCTTAGAAATAGAACCTGACTTTGGTGTGTGTGTTTTCAGTTAATCTGAGGATTTAAAGATTCCCTTTAAAGCAGCTGTTGCTCCTGTTGCTCTCCTTGCTTGCCAAACTAAGCTTTGCTTTGGGAATCCTGTGCCATAAAATACAGGCAGCCCGTTTAGTAGTTAACTATTCTCTTGTATCTGAATGTTTGAAAAATAGTGTTTTCGGTATTACTAATATATATTTTCATTATTTAACCACACTTCTGTGCCTGACTTAAGGCCACTGGCACTATGTGAGCACCGCAGAGAAATACTTATTAATGGAAGAGATGGGGCCTGCCGCTTGCATGGCTTCCGTTCCCTTCTGGCTGAGGAGGAGACCACTGCCCCTCTCGCAGCAGGAGGCACTGAGGAAAACATGCCCAGCAGAAAAGGGATTTGCTCTGTGATATCTGGGATCTTGTGATTGCCTCCYGTTAATTACAGCCTGAACTCTTGCCAAGTCGTCATGCCACTTCCACTCAGCCTCGGAGCAGAATGCAAACCGCCTATAAAGAATGCCCTTTCTAGTTCATATTTTTAGAACTGCTTAAGAGGAATTATTACTGTGTCACTGGGCTTTACAACAGTCTCCGTAGTGTCCTCTGCTATTACACTCTTTCCTCTTCAGCAGTAGCGATGGTGCCAAGTCTTGAGTGCAAATTTCATCTCTTCCCTTTTAACCTACTGCACATGATAATGATGTGATTTCAGGGAAGAATTACGCAGTAGAGCAAGGAAGACAAAACAACAGCCTGAATCTGTTGTGGAGGGAGCTTGGTTTGTTCTTCACAGTGTGTTTATGGAGACTGAAGGGGTAATGGGATAGCTTCGTGCCAGCCAAGAACTCAGAAACGGCAAACTCTCTTCAGCACACTGAAGGAGGGCTTAGTTAGGCTACGTAGGTGGTGATGCACAATGAGTCTGCTGGGGTTTACTGGCTGAGAAATTAATTCAACCCTAAAACCAATTCCCAAGTTTGCCTTCCCTGCTCTATCCCAGCAGCCAGTAGGTGTGTGAAGTAACATACTGCGTCTCCTGCTTGCGTTTAGGAGCATTCTGGAAGAGTCTTTCGACTTCAGTTTGATGAGTTCCAGATCGTCAGCAGCTCGCATGATGATACCATCCTCATCTGGGATTTCCTCAACGACCCAGCTGCCCAAGCAGAATCCACTCGCTCCCCGTCCAGAACATACACCTACATCTCAAGATAAATAACACTACACTGTACCTCACACTTGCACAGGTAAAAATAAATACATCAATAAAAAGAGACTCAAAGGTGACACTGGATGTCATGCCAAGCATGCTGCTTGAATGGCTAGCTGGACCAGACAGTATTTCTCATCTTGGATGAGCAGTAATCGCAGTGTCCTTTAAGAGGATAGAGATGGTTTTGATGCCTTAGAACAGGGGCTTTATCCTAGAATTTGTGGCATGTGGTGCCTGCATTTTCCTGAAGAACCTCTCCTCYTCTGTCCATCACCATCAACAATTAAATCAGCTGTCACTGATGTCTAGAAAGAAGGAGGGTTTCTGCAGAGTGAGTAGAGCAGCTGCTGCCTAACAAGGGGATGCAGAYGGCCTGACCCTGGGCAGTTGTCACCAGGTAAGAGGACTTGCCAAGAAGCGTCAGCTTTGTGCCCTCCCTCTGAAGTGGTGACCATTCTTCTTGCTCTGCAGCAGCTGATTCAAGAGAACAGTTTGCCTAGACCTGAGGTACAAGCCCAGATAGACTAAATCGAGATGTGTCAATGTGCAAAATCATTTACTTATAAAGCCTGGCCCTCCTTCTCTCTACCTGCTACTGCATGTGTGTTAAATTGCTAATGCCAGAGCTTGGCTGGTCTGTCCATCACCTTTCCCTTTTGTATTGGCCAACACAGTGTGGGGAAGAGATTKTAGTTCTTATGCCTGACTCGAATGCAGAGTGGATTTGATATATGAGAGCAGTGGGCTGGGTGTGACTGTTCATTTTGGCGAGCACCGCCCCTGTTAACAGCTTGAGAGAAATGGCAGAAGGGCTGATTGACTTCTGCAAGAGGGGACAGTGACCATGCAAATGCTCTGGTACGGGGCACATCCTGGATTCTGTGCTTTTGATGGATAAGTGTAGGYCATGCCTACACTTGGAGYTGGCAGCCCAGCAATCTTCGTTTCCCTAAACGSTCTGGTCAATCAGGTGTTCTTTTAAATCTGTGAAARGTTTAGTACGAACAGGGTTTSTTTTGTTTTGTTCTGTTCTTTTTGTTTTGTTTTGTTTCCAGGACTCATTTAAGCTGCAGTATTTAAATTATCTGCCAATGCCAGGACAAAAGACCTATCCACGTAACCAATATTGCTGAAGAGAGAGGCTCTCAGACTTGTTTCTGGAACAAAGTTGGCATGCGGTTGATCTCAGACAGGGTCTACTCAGCGCGGCTGACTGCTAAAGTGCTGCTATATCAGAAGATGACTTTTATCTGACATGAACAATTAACGTTTTTAAACCTTCCCTTTTTTTCCCCTCTCCCCCATTTTCCCTTTCACTCCTCTTCCCTGTGCCCTCTTCCCTTCCAGACCCAGTCACAGATGTCCTATGAATATATTTAAGATGTTGCCAGAATGTCTTGCTTTGCTGTTAAGCGGAAGACTTATAGCCACAGTGCACCCTGCTGAGAGTCACTTCAGGGGTGGGAGGGTGGGTGGGGAGAAGGCTGCTACTTTCAGACTGAAATCAATATCCATTGCTGGGCCTTTATAAAAGCATTCAACTCTGAAGAGCAAGAGAAACACTTAAAACAGGCAGACCAGGGGTCCTCCTCCCTGCAGCTTTTGGCTGTTCTGACTGCAGAACTATTTTTTGTGGAGATAGGACCCTTGAAATTTGACTATTATGAGCCAAATCCATCTCTTTTTCCCTCCTGCCTGCTCTGCTAGCCCTTTAGAAGCTGGATGTGTATTGTAATCTCCCCTATCATCTGCTTGGCTGGGGAATGAAAATGAAAAGCTAAAGCCCCCTCTGCCAAAGTCCCAAGCATGATGGCCCGGGGTTGAGCTCCAGTCCCCATCCCAGTGTGAGCGTTGGCTGAGGGCAGTATTTCGCTAGGAACAGAGTGCTCTGTCCCAAGGACAATCTTCCTCCTGACATTGACCCTGGAGACAGCGTGTTGCTGATGACTTAGGAATCGTTGTGTATGTGGCATGAGGCCAGGGTGAGGAGGAGAGCTGGACATTACTCTCCTCTTCCCACCCGCTTTCCCCTCGGAGAGGCAGTAGCCCCGTGCTGGAAGCGGGAGCTGCTGAGAACCTTGCGGAGCTCTTGAGCCTTCCTGGCAGGAGTGGGGATGCTACCTGAGTAYTCTGGCCACGACAGCAAGATTTTGCTCGTATGCCCAGCGGTGGGACACTGGCCTCCACTGGTGGCAACTGCGTAACTGAATGTGGCCATGAGTGTGGCCAGTAAATTCAGCAGTAGCTCCAGGACGGTTCTACAGCATTTCTGTGGCTGTCCCTCCCAGAAAGCATTAGGAGGGAGAGCCCTTGGTGCACTTCCCTAATCTATGTGTGTGCTGCATTACAGTTGAGGGGCACAAGGCAATTAGTCCCTTTACTGATAGCTGGGCTGGGTCTTTGCTTTGCAGCTGAGGCTTTTGTGAGCTGACATAGTTGAGAAAAGTAGCCCCAAAGAGGAGGGGGAACAGTTCTGCATGTCTCCAAAGTAGACAAAGAGGTCTGGGAGAAAACAGCTGTTTCTACAGAACCAAAAAGAATTGCAGCAGGCCTGCGTTTGGATCAGAAAAGCCTGTTTAAATCAGACCCAGGTTATTCCAAGCTGAACCCACATTTTCACTGTGGGTCTTGAGTAACCTGCACTGCTTCAGTAGGGTGTTGCTGCAGTCCCACAGGCAGAAAGCAGGGCCCTTTGTCTCTGGGGCAGAGAAGCTTTAAACAGTTAGTAACACCTCCTAAATGGGAACTTGGCAGATGGGAAATTTTGTTTAGCCGTTCTCATCAACTCCACTTTGCTGCGGAAGCAGTTGCAGTGTTTCTGMGTGCTTGGGATGCAGTTTTTCCACCAGTGAAATTTTGCAAGGAGCTGAGCTGAGCGTCCCCAGAGAGCAGTGCAGAGGGTTTGAATCATTTTGGTGACAGCCAACACGGACAAAAGGCAGTGGAGTTAGGGAGGAAGGGGTAGCCAGTGCTTGCAGAGTAACCAGTACAGCTCTAAAAGCGCATGAGCAGCAGTGTTAAGCACCCAGCTGCCTGGATTTTCACTGAGGCAAGAAACTGCATCAGTGCTGAAGAGCAGCTCACAGCATGTGGTGACACTCCTGTTTTCAKGCTTTTTTGAACTACCGTTGTAGGAAGAGTCAAACATATTAAATCTCTTAAAGTACCACTGACAGCATAACCTGTGGCTGCAGAGTTCTTTAAGTTCTGGATTTCAGTCACAAGGTCATCGCAGTAATTACGGCCCTGCTTCCAGTCTAGGAAGGCTGATTGGGATTTCAGACAGTTAAGCATAGCACATATACTGCAGTCCCAAATCAAAACAGGCTGGAGAGTATAGAGAATCGAAGTTTACATCCCAAACTTCCCTGAACTCAAGTTATGAGTCTTAGATCCTCTAAGTTCCATTTTTACAAGGTCTGTAGTTTAGTCACCTGTAAGCAGCACACACAACCTTAGCTGCTGATTTAATAGTCATTTTCCATCTTTAGTTTGTCTCCTCTTCTGTCTTCTACCTTCAGATTATTGTAGAAAGCAGTGATCTATTCTCCCAGCCTCTGAAGGTGTGTAATATTTTAACTGCATCTTTGGGGCTGAAAGAATGCCTTTTTTTTTTTTAATGGCTAATTAGGAGAGTTTGGGAAAAATAAAAGACTAGTTGACCAAACAGAAACAACACCACCACTGCAGTTTGTTGTTGGTTGTCATAGCCCTGCTGCTCCATGCTGCTATTTTGCAACTTCTAAGCACTGTGGGGTACTAGAGTGGTACCCCAGTTTGAACTCTGCTGTATAGAGCTGTTTAAGGTACAATTTGCGAGCAACAGCTGAATTCCATGTGTAGCAAATGGCAAGAACAGTGTCACATTGTCAAGAGGGGACTGTGTCTGGGTACTTAAATACAGAACTGCTAAGTGGGGAGGGTTTCTGCCCCAGTTTCTCAGTTGTACACGTTTTCTGATAGCTGAGAAGGAAACTGAAGTTATCTGATCTAACTTAAACTTGAATCTGCCACAGCTTGACATTGGTTGGTGTTCATTGTGCACCCAGGGAGGAGTAATCTGGTAAGTAGATCTCCCAGTGTCAGAAGAAAGTGGCTTGTGTGTGAGTGTGAGTGTGCAAGAGTGCCTGTGAGAGAGAGGTTTTAGCACGAACCGAAGGGGTCATCCCTCAGCCAAGCCAGGTTGGAGTCTTTGCAGAGTTTGTAATGAACTAGAAGAGACAAAAACAAGGGGTGGAATTGTCTGTGGGCTTTAAGTGTTGCACATCACTCTGAAATGGAATGAAATGAGATGAAATCTCTGCTGCRTAGAGGTCCTTGCTTCTGCCACAAGTAGGACGCTCACACTGCCCTTCCCCCTTGGACTATGGGATCGAAAGTACTGGAGATGTGGGACTTACAGAGCAGGACAATCCATCGTGGCCGTTCCATCTCCTGCTTGTGACTCCTTTGGCAATGGGCACAGTTTTGCTGCAAATGTTTCTCATCCTCAGAGGAGTACAGCTTGCTTTAAAATATGCAAATAGAAAATGGCATGAAGGAATTTGCAGCGAGAGAATTTCTGCAGCTGTCTCTTCCGGAGCAGCTCCCTCTGCTCCCCGGTAACTTTCAGGGACAGACATGTTCTCTGTTGGAACAGAAGGATTTGGGTGACAAGTTTAGAAGTCTGTGATCATCAGAAATGCTGAATGCTTTAAACTCATTTCTAAACTGGAAGCTGACTTGGACCACCATGCTCTACCTACCCACTTCCTGCTCCAAAGGATCCTTTTACTTTTTTTTTTTCTTTTTTCTTTTCTTTTTTTTTCCTTTTGAACACTGAAAAAGCTGGAGAGTAACATGTCCATTTCCCAGGTATGGGTTTCCTGCTGCAGCCACTCAGTCCTTTCTCAGTCTGAGCAGAACTCCAGGCTTGGGTCTRAGGTTCTTGGCATCCCAACTCCAATGAGGAGTTGTTGATGTTCCACACATCYCCAGGTCGAGCTCTTTCCCTAATTCTCTTAGCTTCCTTTAATACCATTTAAGGTTTGCTTTTTGTGGCTAATGATTCCTAAACTGGCTTGTGAGGGAGCATTTGTGGTTGTCCCATGGTACAAGCGGCTCTTCCTAGGTAGGGAAGCTGATGAGATGGAGCAGCCAGTCTTCCTGCTGCAGACTGGCTCTTAACTGTGAGAGGAAAAGGAGGAGATAAGCCATATGGTTGAAAGCTAGGAGAGGAGGATGGGGATGGAGATGGATCTCTACAGAAGTGGGGACAATACTGAAAATAGCCTAGCTTGTGTACTTGGCTCAGAAGAAAGGAGATGTTCTGTGGAAACATTGAAGGGCATCAGGAGGTAATGGAGTCATGCCCCCAAGGGCTGAGCTCCTCAGCTGCTGCCCCCTTTTAGGTTGCACTGGGGCATGAGGAGAGAGGGAGAGTCTAAATTACACTGGCCAAGAGATGAATGAACTTTGCCAGGGTCTCCAAGTGGCATGCATGATGCATCTGACATGCTGAGCCTTGCCCTGCTGTTGTCCCCCCAGAAGCAATAAGCTCTAGGAGAGGGGAACGGCGAGTTACCAAGCTGTCCCCCAGAGGAGGTCTTCGTATGAAATCCCTCCTTCCTCCTGTCAGCACGTCCCTGCTGGCCCGATTGGCATGAGGGGCCCGCAGTCACTGTGTCCCCACTTCTGACACAGAGAATCCTTTGTCACAGAAGCACCCGGGCTCTCGGGTGCCTCCCTTCTCCCCAACCTCAGCGGCAGGTTGAGAAGAACGGTTGCCTGCCGAGGCTGAGCATTTGACTTCCCCTTCTTTGCCCCTCACCCTGTTTTTTTTTGGGTGTTTTTTTTTGTTTGTTTGTTTTATTTTTTAATGAGGTGTAGCCTTCTGGCTACTGGCAGATTCCCAAAGCTTCTCTCCCAGAGCCAGCCTTGACATACTGCCAGAATAAATCATCCTTTGTCTTGTCAGAAAGCGGTTCCCTTGACTTTCTGCTTGTTTTCAAAGACCATTGGTTTCCTCCCTTTGCCCAGTGGTTATCCCATGGAAGTTGTCACCCATGATTGATCCTCAGTGATGCTAAGGTGATCCTCTCAAAATTATGGGGATTTTGAGCAAAGATCTGTTAGCATGCTGCAACCAACTCCTAAAACAGGTCCTCTGCTTCAGCAGCTGATCCCCTAGAAAGTTGCTGTGATTTCTGCTCAGGCAGGAAACAGTGGCCAGAAAAATGAGCGTGAAACAGCAGCCCCCCACACGGAGCCCCGTGCCTCTGTTAGGAGTTACAGCCTTYACAAGCAGAGCGTGGTGATGTGTTAGTGCTGTAGCACGGGTTTGTGGAAGAGCCACRTCCCACTGCTGGGAAGGGTTGTCCCAAACAGTTTGCAGGGCTGGCGATTGAACTTGGAGCTGGCTGTGAAAACGTCYGGGTGCTCCGATGTGGGATTGTCCCGTTGGGGACATAGCTCTGCTTTTGGCTACTTTGTCCTTCACATGAAGCATCCCAGGGCCCATCCTAGCCACAGCTCTGAGGTGGCATAAAAATACTTYGGACATTGAGCTGATCTGATTTCTCCCAAGCATTTTACCCCACTGCCTTTCTCAGAGCTCTGTGCCTACCAAGCCAGCCTATGCTGCATCACTCCGACCTGCTCAGACTGAGAGGGATGTGGAAGTGCGAGAGGCGAGAAAGAACATGGTTTCTCCAGAGTTTTCTGTTTGTTACTGCTCTATTTGTTATCCGGATTCTTAAGTAACGAGTGCTTTGAATTTTGTGATTATGTTACGGTGATGTGTAGTTAACGTACTAATGTTCACTTGAGCTAGAATCATGGTAACAGTGTGTTTTTGTTTTTGTTTTTTTTTTTAACTGTTCAGAAAATAACTTAAATACAAATGTAAAGATGAAGCTGTGAATCTCTCCTGTTTTCCTTTGGGGCRAAGGACTTTGTGAAGCTGCAAAGCCGCGTGTTCGGTGCCTCCTGTGATGTGAGTGACATGTCTGGCATGGGTGCATGGTATACACGTCTGGTGCATACGTTAGGGTGCAGGGCATGGGCAATATCTGCAGCATGAACACGTTGACCTGCCGGGCAGCTTTGCCCCGCGTGCTGGGTAGATGCAGATCTACACGGTGCACGAAATGCACATTTTATGTGCGAATGCYGCATAAAAGCCTGCGCTGGCAGTCAGAAGCAGCACTTATTCCTAAAGCCGCAGCATACTTTTTAATTAAGAAACTCTCTATTCATGGCTGATGGCCTCTAGCTGGGACAAATGAGTCCGCCCTGTGTGGCAGAGAAGGGATGTGGCGGATAGGGAAGAGCTCCAACCATCCTGCCCATTAAAAGCGGGTGGCGGCGGGGGAGAGCCTGTAAGGACTTTGTGCTCTTCTGGAGCCCGTTGTGGCCTCCTGGTTGGAGAAGCACAAATCTGTTTTAGAAGCTAATCAGAATCCTGCTGCTCAATAATGAGTGAGTAATTGACACAGCTCAGCRCCGACGTGCACCACGACGGCCCCGCCGCCCGCCTTGGGTTTCAGCACCCGCACCCTTGCCCTCAAAACACCCCTCTTAAAAACGCCCCCTTTGATAGCGACCCGGGAGTGCTGCCATTGCCCTTAACAGGCCCTGTTTAAGACAAAAGCTGCCGCAGTTTTTAAGATCCAGCTCCTAGGGAGGTCAGAAAACAAACACACGCCGCGCTCCTGCCGGCTCTCTCCCTGCTGGCTCCATTCTTGGGAGCCAGCAGGGGACTGGAGATTGCGAAGCCTCCTGCTTTTCCCGAGCACGGGGAGCAGGATTCCTGCCACATCCAATCCCCGTCCCGCCTTGTGACGTGGCTCCCAGCCGCCAGACAGGGTCTGTGTTTTGGCAAGGGGGGCATTATTGAACCTTTGCTGCTCCCTCCGCGTTCGTTCCTCCCATGTGATAATAGATTTGGAAGAAGAATTGCACTGGCAGCCTTCATCCATCGCGTCGGATCGCTCTGGAGCGCAGGGTGCAGCTTGATTTAAGCAGCACGAGGCTGCCAGTGCATGCGAGTGAAACCACTTGCCTCTAACACTCATAGTCCCCACGTTCCTGCCTTCTTTCTGGGTTTCTCTGTTTACCCAGACAAGAATCACCCCCTTCTGTACAAAACAGGCTCTTTCCATGGGTTATTTCTTGCCATTTCTTAGGTATTCTCTTCTTGCCCCTGATGTTTAAAGACAATGATCAGAATATTTCTTTCCAAGTTTCCCAGGCCAGGGCAGTGCTCTATGGCAAGGAACAGGCTGGAAAACATCTCCCCACATCCCCATCCCCAACAGCAGGTCCAAGGCCTCCAGAGTTGACATGCTTATGTGTTTGAGGAAGAAAAGCAATCTCCAGTGTAAATTTCCACTGGAAAAGCGCAAACACCACGGCAGCCCATYGTAAATAGATTCGGTGCTTAATTACCCTTCCTGTTTAAAAATGTGTGCCTTATTTCCACTTCAAATGAAGGAGGAAAGTAATGTTCGCCATAGCTTCAAATTAACACCATCCCATCCGCCTACAGCTTTAAAAGAAGAATCCTCTGGTTTTGTATATTTGAAAGGCATATTTTCAAGTGAATAGTAAGCTCTTGCAGAGGGGAACGTTAACTGTTTTAGGCCTGCTATTCAAATTGATGTGATTTTTAACAAAAACACTCAGGGTGCATCCAGCAGCCGGATGGTGCTGGGCCCATCGTGTTGGCTTGAAGAGCGAAGGGATCGTGAGACTGAGGGAGGCTGCCAGAACGAGACCTGTGCAGATATTCGTGTTTCTCTTTTCCCGGTCCGAGGTCCTGTTCCCAGCTGGTCCTTGCTGGCGGGGATGGCTGTGAGGATGTGCAATGGATGGGGATGAGATGAGCCCTGTGAGGAGGCTCCGGGCAGCGTGTGTGTGAGCGCAAACTGCTTCCCTGGGCTCCAGGAGAGAGCTCTAATATACATGAATTACTTGTCCCGAGGGATGCTCCAGTTTCTCCCCGGAGTTATCTTCCCATCCTGAGCTCCRTCTCCAAAGCGCTTTAGCAGCCTGCACCTGACTGTCAGGAGCAGCCGTAAATCCCCCTCATCTGCCAGGGACCACTGCAGCTGGATAGGGAATGTGAACAAGGGAGCCCGGCTTGGAAAGGCCTCACCTACCCAAGTAATAGCCAAGGGCAGAGCAGGAGGGCTTTACCCAGGCTGTATGAACAGAGCGGTGTGTGGGTGCTTTGCAAAGGTGCTGCCGAGCAGACATCCGTCATAAATAGGTAGTATTTTTGTGAAAGAGAGTGCTGGGTGTTTTTCTGGACACTGCAGCTTGCAGAAATSCCAGGACCAGGCCTTGCAGAACCGGTGCTGGTTGCAGAAGCRCAAGTCCCTGGTTAACATTGTGTGGCTGATGTGTCCCCGTACTGACATCAATGGGCAAAGCAAGGAGGGCTCCTCAGAGGTGACAGCGAGATGGGGAGGCTGCTGGGCAGTGGTGTCCAGCCTGGGGACATTCCTGCTTTTCCCGGAGTGCGTGAGTGGCCTGGCCAGCACGTGGGCTCCATGGCTGCTCTGCAATGCAGCTTTCCATGTGCACCTCTTTGAGATGGCCCTTGCTTCCTCGTGGATCCTGCTGCCGTCCTGCACTATCCAGCGCTGGGCAACCCCCAAGAGGCAGCACTGAAGGCCACATCCTCACTGAGAGGTTTCCACCTCATCTTGGGAAAGGACATGGACTCTCCCACACATCCTCAGGCTGGACGGATCCTGCTCTGGCTGCGCCACGGGCAGCTGGGCAGGAGTGTCCTGTGGGATCCTGGCTGCAGGGGAAGAGGCGCCCAGATCAGCGGTGCCCAAGAGCCATCCCAGAGCAGTTGGGGCTGCCAGGAGCCCTGGGGAGCAGGATGGTGGGTTCGGGCCCCCGGCCGCCCCTTCTAAGCCTGGGAGCTGTTGCTGGCCGCAGCATCACGAGGTCCCGGTCCTCCCCATGGCCATGCGGCAAATTGCGCGCTCGCTGTTAGGCTGCTAATTAAAGGCACTTGATCAGCAGCGGGGGAGGCAGCTCCCGGCCGCGGCAGAATTGGATTCTTCGGAGCTGCCGTCTCTGCCCTCAGGGCCGTGCCCGGGGGGCGAAGGGCTGTGTGGGCCGGGCTGGGGGACGTGGGTCAGCAGCCTCTCTRCCCACAGCTGCTAACGGGGCTCGGGCTCCCGCTATTCCGGAGCCACCGGGCGCCTCTGCCCTCCACGAGGCCCCCAGACTCCTCCTCCTGCTCCGGCTGCTCGGGCCTCCAATGAGCCCAACAGGCACCCGGGCTGCCTTGATCCCACCCGCTGCCTTCCACATGGAACCGGGAGAAATGAGCCAGGCAGCCGGAGCAGCGCTGCCTTCCTCCGCCGCTCCTCTTCCTCGTGCGCCCAGCTCCGACCATGGGAGCGGGCAGCCCGGCCGGGCCGCCGCTGGGGTGAGCACCGTGGGGCAGGGGGCTCCCGGCGCGGGAGGGCTGCCCTGTCCCTGCTCCCCTCGTTCCTCTCGGGGCGTCCCTGGCTCCGCAGCCCAGGGGTTTAACTCCCTGCCCGGCCCCGGATTCCTGCTGGGATTAGCRGGGATTTGGCGTGTGTGAGCCGGGAGCTGTGGTGCTATGGATCCGGCTACTGTGCTCGGGGAGAGGGGCTGCAGTTCCCCCCGCCAGGCTCTTGGCCAGGGCTGATGTCCCTGGACCAGGGCCCATGGTGGCTGCTATGGGTCCACCCAAGCAGGGCGATCCCATCCCTTCTTCCCTCCGGCAGCGCCTCACCCTCCGGCTGCTCTCGGTCACGCTCCTGGTGTCCTTCGGCTCCTCCATGCTCTACGGCTACAGCCTGGCTGTGGTGAACGCGCCRGCAGCGGTACAAGGGGCCGGGGACGGGGGGAGGCTCCACTGCCCCAAACCTCGAGCCAAAACACTGGATTAGACCCAGTCCCCTGTGGAGAGCGGCCCGTGGGCATGGGAGGGACCTGGGTTGAGGTTTCCCTAAAAACCTGGTCGCTGCTGGGAGGCCTGGTGGTGGGAAACTCCTTCCAAGGGCATCCTCGAAAGCCTCTGSCCCGTCTCTGTGAGACGGAGCCCCGGGCTGCTGCTAACGCTGCCGTGGGGCTGCCCTGTCCCCGCCGGCGCCCCGCAGCCCATCAAGGCTTTCTACAACGCCACGTGGAGCCGGCGGCGCGGGCAGGGGCTGCCGCCCGGGCGCCTCACGCTGCTCTACGCGCTGACGGTGGCCGTGTTCGCGCTGGGCGGGCTGCTGGGCGCGCTGCTCGTGGGGCTGCTGCTCGCGCGCTACGGCAGGTAAGGGCGCCGGGGGTGGGCACGGCGCGGCGCCGGGGG